CTCCCAGAAGCTAGAGAGCGCCTATGAATTTGTACTGCTAGCGAAACAGACGCACAAACAGTGGCTGCAACAACTTCAGGATACAGGGGAGATAATGGGCACTGGGTCCTTGGAGTGCCTGCGGGAGACCCCCATACACCTGTTTGAGATCGAGGGTGTTACCATCAAAACGGAAGCGCTAGAGTCAACAGCTCCAGATAACGGGAATAACTCCTGCGATCCTCTAGTCCGGAAACGCATAAAAAAGCGGACAATCCTGCACTTCAGCGACACGGAGGATGACCAGGATGATGTGCCGCTAAGGCAACGCAGGACGAGCCGACAAGCGAAAAGCTCATCAGCAAAGCAGCACAAATGCAATCTGTGCGCCAAATCCTACATTTATATCACAAATCTATATCGCCACAAGAAAAGGGATCACGGCTATCCAGGGCATTCGAAGAGTGAGAGCTCCGAGTCCGGCCATGACAACACACAAAAGAGCGCCGTGGCAGCGAAAGACAGTTCCAATTTGGAGTAAGCAGAAGGCCATAAAAAAGCAAATGATCACTTCTAATATTTCATTAAAAAATAGACAAAACGATGATGACAATGATGAGGATGATGACAACTACTACAAGTGCGATCAGTGCGACAAATCCTACAAGTATATAATGGTGCTAGTCAAGCACAAGCAGAATGCCCATGAAGCCAACCAATACCAACTGCCAATCAAATCTGGCCTCAAGCGGAAAAACCGAATAGACTTGGGCGAAGCGTCAAGTCCAGCCTCGTCTGGGAAATCCACACAGCGCAGCAGAATCTGCAACGATAGCCTTGTCCACAGCCTCATCAAATCAGTGGAGTAAGATTAAAGTCAATATTACATTTCGCTTTCCACTAATACATTTCCCTCCATAGGCTTTCCGATGAGGATGCAAACAGCGGCAACGATAACTACTACAAGTGTGATCAGTGCCACAAATCATACAAATACATTATAAACCTCATCAAGCACAAGCACAAGGAACACACGGAAGCCGACAACAACTCGGACGCCGAGGAAAATCCACAATTGGCCTCCACATCAGCCTGCGCTACATATGCCAGCGCCTCCGCAGCTGCAGGCCCTTCCGCCAAAGCATCGCGAATCAATCGTCGCGTTCAGGGCTTCGACCCGCATCGCTGCGAGCCGAATGGCGCCAAGGAAATTCAGTGTATGATCTGCCTGCGAAAATTCACTAAATTGCGGGAGCTGAGAGAACACCTGAGGGCGCATCCCACGGACTTTAATTTTCAGGAGCATGGTGAGCCCATTGAACGCATAGCCGAGGGCTTCTTCAAGACGGCTGTGGAGTCCACTGTGGAGGGTCTGAAGGACAGAATTCTGCGTAATCTCAAGATGGGTGTCTTCGGACGCTTCTATTCCATTACCAACGAGGCACGCTACGAGATGAATTTGGATAGCTCAGACACGGATAGCGATGGCGATGCAGATGTTGTTCTAAGACGAAGCTATGCCTGTGAGCTATGCGACGCCCCAGAGGCACGGTGGCCTCGCAAGTATCAGCTGCACGAGCATCACAGGCAGCAGCACACATGGGAAGAAGCTCCGCATGTCTGCCAGCGCTGCGACGCGCGTTTTCTCAGTCTTCAGCTGCTGGAGCATCATACCCTTCAGCTGTGCCATAACACACTGAAGCGATTCATGTGTGACAAGTGCCCGCAGCGCTTCTTCTGGCGTAGAAATCTGCGTGCCCATCTGGTCGAGCACAAGAGCAAGGTGGGATATATGCACAAAAAATAACCGAAATAATAATAATTTATTATCCATTGCAGCAAGAAAACTATCCGTGCGACCAGTGTCAGCGTAGTTTTCAGCATAAAAGCGCCGTGACCAAGCACAAGTTGATGATGCATCGCGATGAAAAGAATCAGCTTATTCCCTGTCGCTGGTGCTCACGGACATTCTATCGTCCCGGCCTCCTGTACAAGCATGTCGAGCGCCATGGCTTCACCGGCGACGACATGCCACTGGCAGAGACTTTGCTGGCCGATGCAGCTAAGCCATCGGGCCCAAAGACTGTCCAGTGCAAGCTCTGTGATCTCCAGTTTGTAAGCGTAGCAGATCTACGTCGGCACAATGCAGTGCTGGGCCACAGTGACCGGATAACCGACTACATGATCAGCACTGAGGCTGGCTTCGAGCTGCTGCTGGAGGATACAGATGACAGCGATGACGACACTACGGGAGGCAGATCCTACTCCTGCGATCTATGTCAGATGACGTTCTGTCGCCGAAGAGAGATGAGCGAGCATCAGTATTCCCTGCACACTTTTGACAAGCTGCCTTATGGCTGCGAACATTGCATTTACAAGACAGTGGATAAGGTGGGAGAAGGCCATATAAGTCCTTCAATTTAAAATTAGTTTCCATAATCCGTTTCAGCTCATGCTGGAGCATCATCTGCGCACACAATGTCTCAACACAACGAAGCCGTTCAGCTGCTCCCGCTGCAGATACAAGTTCATGTGGAAGGAGAATCTGGATCAGCACTATTCCACGCAGCATTCCAAGCTGCCACCCACCCAGGAGCAGTCGTCTATGCCATTGAGGAGAAGACGACGCTTCAGGTATCAATGCCCTCAATGCTGGCGTTCGTTTGTGGTGCAGGCCAGCCTTGATAAGCATATTAGAGACATGCATGTGGCCAAAAAGAATCCGTGCAAGAAATATCTCTGCTCGCTGTGTGGCCTGGAGGCGCTGACGCCCAACAAGCTTAACATTCATATGCGTCGCCACAACGGGGAAAAGCCCTTCAAATGCGATCTCTGCGACATGCGCTTCACAGTCCACTACGAGCTGAAGGTACATCGGAGGAAGCACACCGGCGAGCGACCCTACCAGTGCACCTTTTGTGACAAGCATTTTGCTCGACCCGACAAACTGAGACGCCATGTCTACATGCACAGTGCTCGTCGTTAGACTTAAGTATATTCCGCTTCAAAAGAGATCCAAAGATGTCTCGCTCTCTCGCTCTTTATATCTCTGCCCATATGCGCATATGCAAAATGCAGCATTGCGTCATGGGATGATCGAGAGTTCCAAAGAGAGAGAGAGAGACAATAAGCTTTTAAAAACATGTATGTGAGATTTATTCAGTAGGGAAGGGAGGGTAATGTAGCAGTCTCCACGTAAACCAGTCTGTTTTCAAGAGTCAGCTGAATCGCACACGCTATCGCATGTAGAGCTGAAACGCAAGATGAATAAGCAAACAGTACCGGAATGGGTGAATAAACAACTTTTCGTTGGTTTGCTGGAACAGACTCACGATGATTTCAAAGCAATAACTAATTTCGCCACCAAAGCGGCCACCAGTGAGGGGGAAAACTATCTAACAATTGTGCTGCGCAATCAAATAGGAATGCAACTGAAAGGTAAGCTAGAAGGTGGCTTATCAGCAAGTGTCATTACCTATCAAATAACTACAGATGATAGCGAAAAGCTGGTCAGCTATATACTCAAGATACCATTGGTCAACGAGAGTGGGGATGATCATGAGTTTCACGATTTGTTCATTGCGGAGTTTCAGATGTATGATCGAGTAATACCGGAACTGGAGGCACTCTATGCTCAGAATACTTCAATCGCACCCAGCTTTAAGCCATTGCACTTAAAGTTTCCTGCAATGACAACAAAGTGTGACTACATCCTCTTGGAAGATCTACGCACGAGAGGCTACACGAATGCAGAGAGAACTGTTGGTCTGCAACAGCTGGAAGTTGAGGCAGTGCTCAAGAAGTTGGCTCAGTGGCATGCAGCCTCTGCCAAGAGAGTCACCGATTTGGGTGAATACGAACAGGGCCTCAGGGAGAGCTACTTCACGCACGAGCACCTGAAGTTGATTGAAGGATTCAACATGAGTTTCACTGTTCCTTTTTTGGAATGCATGCAGAAGTATGACCTGGATCCGGGACAACTTCTACTGATAGTGAGCAAGAGAATGAAGTTCTGGCATCAATTTCAAATTGTGTTATTCCGCAGAGCGACTACACTTCCCGCCTGACAGATCTCTATATGGAGTTTGGTGACAACGATCCTCAAGAGCTGAATGTGCTTAATCATGGGGATTTCTGGTGCAACAATTTCATGTTCAAGTACACGGATTCCGGGGAGGTAGAGGATGTCTGCTTCGTGGACTTTCAGCTGCCCAAATACGGTACCAAATGATACACTCTAAATTGATGATTGGATTGAAAGTTTTCTCCACTTTCAGGCACACCCGCGCAAGATCTGTTCTGTCTGCTCATGACCTCGCCAAAGTTCGACATCAAACTAAAGAAGTTTGATTATTTTATAGAGTATTATCACCGGCAGTTGGTGGAACACCTTGCGCTGCTCAAGTACAACCAAAATGCTCCCACATTGTCGCAGCTTCGAGCAAATCTGCGCAGGAACAGTCTCTGGGGTAAGGCCTCAATGGCGGAGAATGGTTCTTCATTGTCATGGTCTCTTTATTGCAGCGTTCATATGTGCCCAGCGGATGCTGCCCATAGTTCTGATGCCCCCTGACGAGGGTTCCAATATTGGCAATGTCATGGGCGACTCGGAGGAGGCATCCGCATTCAAGCGTAAGATGTTTCAGTCGCCAGCCTACGTGCAGCAAATTAAAATGATTTTGCCGTGGCTCATTGAACGGTCGTATATAAGATGAGCATGCAAATGGTTGATTGCAATGACAAACAGGTTCCAAAGCAGTCTCAAAGTATTCAAAGTTGTATAATAAATATTCACTTTATCAATATCGTTTTGGGTTCAATCAAATCTTCCCCACGAGGATCGCTTATAGATATGCTCCATTCATTATATGATGATGACATATCCTTCCATTAATTAAATTATCATAAAGCTCGCTCTAGCTCTGGCTATTGGCGAATTTTTTTTTTTTTGGCGTCTATCTATAAGTAAGCTAGAAGCTTACCAAAGCTCTAGAGCTATATAAAGCTGAATATAAAACTATCAGCTCACTCCGACTAGCGCCAGTGCACAAAACCGTGTCCAACCAAGCGTATACCTTATTTGCGAGCGTAAATTACTGTAAGAATTTCAATTGTCAACAAAATGGCGGCGAACAATGTCCCCGAGTGGATCAATGCGGAACTATTTGAAGATGTTCTCAAGTCAACAGTGCCTGGCTACACCAAAGTGAAGACCTTTAAGGCTGACGCCGGCTCTGCAGCGGGAGAAAACTATGCAACGATTATGCTGCGTGTCAACATCGAAGTGGAGTTGGAAGGTAATAGCTGGAAGGGCAGCAGTAGTGAAGTAGATCTTGCATATAACGCTCCTCGTTTTCAGAGGGAAAGTCAAAGGATGTTTCCTACATGGTCAAGCTGCCCCATCAGCTGGAGCTTTACAAGGAAATGATGAAGCAGAATAACATCTTCGACGTTGAACGCTTGATGTACTGCGAAGTTGTGCCCGAGATGGAGGCTCTGTACAAGGATGTGGGCGTGGATGTGATT